CACCGGCTGGCGCGTCGCTGCGGAGCGATCCCCGTCCGACACCGCCCGCGCCGAGCACTGGCCGCGCGCGGTCAGGAGGCCCCGGCACCTCCCTGCGCGGCCGAAGATGGTTGCCTGAGGGGGGGAGGGAGGGACCATGCAGTCATCGTGCTGCCCGGAAGAATGCTGAACAGGGAACGAAGGGGCTTCTCTGGCCACGGCGGGCCTCAGCCACGAAGGGGCTCCCCGACCTGGCTCGGAGGAGCGGCCCGGAACCCAGAGCCCCTCCTGAGCCCAGAGGATCCTTCTTATTTCCGCGTCTCGGCTGCACACTTGCACAGTGCATCGAGGAGAGGGGGTGTGCTTCCAGAGGAGGTGGAGGAGAAGGAGGAGGAGAGGAGGAGGAGGAGGAGGAGGAAGAGGAGGAGGAGGAGGAGGTCCTCCACGTCCGCTCTCCTTCCTGCCCGGCCTGCTTTTCTCCTCGGACGTGCGGCGGCGCACTGTGGTGTGCAGGGCCGCGCACGCGCGTAAAACACAGGCCCGCTGCCCGCGGCAGCCCCCTCTTCCTCTCCGTTCGGAGACGAGGCCTCTCTGGGGGCCACCGCAGGGAGGCGCGGGCGGCGGCATTAACACAGAAGCCGGCAGCATCGAACCCGTGGCAAGGACACCTAGCAGGAGGGCGTGGAGGTCCGAATTACGGAACAGGGCGGAACGCCCGAGGAGGGAGCGTACAGCACTGCATGCTCGAGGGCGCCAGGCCTAGTCTTAAGGGGATTTTGGGCGAAAAATTTAAAAACAAATACAAGACAAATCACCCCAAATGCTAGGACAAAAAAAGTCCCCACACTATTTTTACTAGTTTTTGAATCTTTCCCCTGTAGATGCCCGACTGAAGCCTCGTCGAAACGACACTTTGGGCTCAAGGTCGCTCCTGAGGCGGCCCGACGGAACCGAAACTCGTGAAGGCCCGGGGAGGCGTGGGCCCCTGTCGGGAGGCGGGGCCGAGCTGGCGGTGCCGGGTGTCTGGCCAGAACTGCCCCGGATGTCCTTACCCAGAAGTGCCCCAGGAGGAGAGGGAGGAAAAGGAGGAGGAGGAGGAGGAGGAGGAGGAGGAGGAGGAGGAGGAGGAGGAGGAGGAGGAGGAGGAGGAGGAGGAGGAGGAGGGGGAGGAGGAGGAGGAGAGGAGGAGGCGGAGGAGGAGGAGGAGGAGGAGGAGGAGGAGGGGGAGGACGAGGAGGAGAGGAGGAAAAAGGAGGAGAGGAGGAGGAGGAGGAGGAGGACGAGGAGGACGAGGAGGAGGAGGAGGAGGAGGAGGAGGAGGAGGAGGAGGAGGAGGAGGAGGAGGGAGGAGGAGGAGGAGGAGGACGAGGAGGAGGAGGAGGAGGAGGAGGAGGAGGAGGAGGAAGAGGAGGAGGAGGAGGAAGAGGCCGCCTTCCTGACCCCTGCTCTCTTTCTCGTGCGCCGCAGGGGCACGACCGGTCGAGCGAGGACGGGGCACGTCGAGAGCCAACCGCGCCATGCACAGCAGCATGTCGGAAGTCCGCGCGGATCCCTCGGGTCGGCGCTGCGGCCGCCCCTGGCCACGGTCTTGGCGGCGACCCAAAAGATCCACGCGGGCCTCCGGAAGACTCTGCCCTTGCCGCGCTTTGGCTCCCAGCCGGAGGGAAGCGGCGCAGACCTCCGAGAGAACCGTCCCTCCCGGCCCTGCGGTGCGCTCCTGCGGCCCCTGCCCCATATATGTATGCCCTTCGTGGCCCCCGCTCGTTCGCACCCGTCGTGGCCCCATATTCATGCCCTTCTTGGCCCCGCTGTCGCCCTTCGTGGCCCTCTCGCTGCCCTTCGTGGCCCCATTGCTGCCCTCAGTGGAGGGTCCTTGCCCTCCGCGGCCCAATATACGTATGCCCTTCGTGGCCCCCGCTCGTTCGCGCCCGTCGTGGCCCCATGTATACCCTTCGTGGCCCCGCTGTCGCCATTTGTGGCCCCATATGCATGCCCTTCGTGGCCCAATTGCTACCCTGAGTGGCCCCATCGTTGCCTTCTGTGGCCCCGCATTATCTGCCCTTCGTGGCACCCGCTCGTTCGCGCTCTTCGTGGCCTCATGCGCATTCCCTTCGTGTCCCCGCTGTCGCCCTTCGTGGCCTACTTCGTGCCGTTCGTGGCCCTGCTGTCGTTCTCTCTCCCGCTCTCGCTTTCGCTCGTCGTGGTCGTCGTCGTCGTCGTGATCGGTCCCTTGTCCGTCCCTCTTGGGGTCGGGTTGCCACCGATCAGCGCTGCCGCTGGCCAAGCCGACGGTCCGCGGCCGCCCCGCCGCTTGCTGGGCCCGGCCTGCAGGAAGAAAGGCATACCCCCCAAAAGGGGTACGATCGAAGACGACGAGGGCGGGTATCGAGGGTTTGGGAAATACGCGTTAACGGACACTCGAGCAGATACGAGCGAACAGTCTTGAAATGATTGTTGTTGTTGTTGTTGTTGTTGTTCTCTCACTACTACAGAATAACTATTGTTGATCTCCCCCTTCTGGTGACAATTGTTGCTTTTTCAATTGAAGTGCTTCCCCCAGGCTCGCACCGTTTTTCTGAAGGAAAATCGCTCGACTCAAATTGCGCCCCTGGCCCCCGGGGTACAACAACAACGGCTCCAGCCTGAGACTTCCTCACAATTTAGCCAGGACCCCCGCTCCCGCCTGAGACGTCCTCGCATTTTACTCAGGAACCTCTCGCTTGGGACTTCGTTACAAATTATTCAGGAATCGCTCTCTCGACTGTGAGAAGCACCCCTGCCGACTTACCTCCCACCCCTATCTTGGAGTACCATGTGGGACCTGCTCTACACCAGGAACATGCCGTAGACGGAGCTACCCTTTCTCCGACCTGGTGCTGCGCCGAACGCAACGGCCGCGTTGTCTGTGGACGTATCCGCCCCGAATGTCTACAGACGTTTAACGACACCCAGCGTTCCCATAGACGCCAAAGGCTAGAAAGTGAAAGCGGTATTTGGCATATGCCCCAGATTTGGACGCCCGAAATGGGCACGGAAAAAATGGGTACAATGCCCAACAATAAATGTTGTCCCAAACCAACAGCGGCCGCTGCCGTGCAGGCGGCCTTCTGTCTCGAGTGGACACAGGCCGCGGCGGCGTGGACAGCGAATCCTGCTCAAAATGAACAGGAACTGCTGCTGGGCATTGTGCCCATTTTTTCCGTACCCATTTCGGGCGTCCAGACCAGGTTGAAGGGGCCCTGGGACACACAAATAAATGCACACAAATAAAAGGATTCCCCATATTTTTTCTATATTTTCTGGGTTTTGTCTTCCCCCCCACTTCCCATATTGTCCAATATTTTCTTAGAAATCGACGATCCATTGTGTCTGTGTGTTTTTGTCCCTCCTGACAGGCATCGGTCGTCTGGAAGCAGGTCGACTTTGGGGCGGCGAGCGCGAGGGCCCGCGGCGCGAGGCATGCCAGGCTTCCGAGCCACAGCTCGGGCCCCTGGCGGCCGATGGGGACGATCCCGGTGCCCCCCGGGAGCGCTCTCGAGGCGCAGCTGCTGAAACGCACCCCGGCGGCGAGGAAGGCGGGGAGGAGCCCGAGGATCTGTGGCATGTGCCCCAGGTATTGGACTTCTACCACCCCCTGGATTACAAAGTGGTGATCGGCACCATGCCAGGGAACACCCCCTGGGTCTTCGCCAATCGGAAGAAAACTCAAGCATCGACCTTCGATCGATGCCATATAACTCCCAGACGCAGTCGTGACCCGAACGGAGGAACGGCGACGGGGGGGTGGACGAGACGCGCGGTTGTTAGGACAGCCCAAACGAAGGCGCCACTCTTTGGCGGTGTGAATATTGGACTTCTAGAGTCCAGTCGGCTTTGCCATCCACAAGGGCGCCAAAATTCGCGCTGCGCGAAGCGCGAGGCGCGAATAGCTTCGCGCCGTCGCGCCGCCCCGTAAAGGGAGACAATGGGAGAAGGTGAGGACGAGGAGGAATCGGAGCCGAACCGCGAAGCGCGAAGAATTTCGCGCCCTCGAGGGCGCCCCTGCATCCAATCCCTACCCGCAGCGGCGGCGGCCACGGCGGCGCCGCCGCCGCGCGCCGCCAGCCGTCGCCGCAGGCAGGGCGCGCGCGGTGCGCGGAGGGGCCCCCCCTTCTGAGGCCTCCGGGCGTCTCCAGGGAGGTCCTCGGGAGGCCCTCGGGAAGCCTCCGCGGGGCCCCTGGAGGCCCAAGAAAGGCTCAAAAGCCTTGTCGTTCCACGTCGTCGTCGTCGTCGTCGTCGTCGTCGTCGTCGTCGTCGGCGTCGTCGTCGTCGTCGTCGCCCCCTTCCTCCAAGTTTTCAAAATCATCCCTTTGCTTCCCCGCCCCCTCGCAGCGGCCCGCCCCGCATTGGGCTTTTGGGTCAAAGGCCCAATGCGGCTGCACTGCGCGGAGTCGCCAGCGCCAGAAGACGCTCGGGCGCATGCCCTCCAGCCGTGCCGCGTGGGAGGACAACGATAGAAATATCGAAGTTTGCGTAGTGTATTTTATCATCCTCTCATTGCCGAGCGATTGGATCAGCGCTACCCCCGTGCAGATTGGCGGCGCGCACAAGGGGGTGGAGGGAGGGGGGAGAGGGCTTCTTAGAGGGAGGCTGCTTCTCAGAAGGCGCGGGCCTCACACCTACAGAAGAGGCCCGCGCCCTCTGAGAAGCAGGGGTGCTTCTAAGACGCCCTCCCCCCTCCCCCCGCCCCCCTCTGCGCGTGGCTGAGCAAAGGCAGGAGGTTTGGACGCCCGAAATGGGTACGGAAAGAATGGGCACTATGCCCAACAACAAATGTTGCCCCAAGCCAACAGCGGCCGCTGTTGGGCAGGCGGCCTTCTGTCTCGAATGGACACAGGCCGCGGCGGCGTGGACAGCGAATCCTGCTCAAAATGAACAGGAATTGTTGTTGGGCATTGTGCCCATTCTTTCAGTACCCATTTCGGGCGTCCAGAAAGAAGGAACTGCCCGCGCGAGGGCCGCGGGCCGCCCGGCCCCCCCGATCAGGCGAGCGTGACGGCCGCCGGGGGCCCGCCGAGCCCGGCGGGCACGGCCTGCGGAGGGGAGCGCCGAGGGCGAGGGGGAGCTTCGGGGGGGGAAGCGTCTCCTCCTCCTCCTCCTCCTCCCCCTCCTCCTCCTCCTCCTCCTCCTCCTCCTCCTCCTCCTCCTCTTCCTCTCCGTTGACTCACCGTCGTGTCTGGGGGCTATTGCTCGGCGTGCTGCCCTGCGAGCGGACAGCGTGTCGCTCCGCTCCGCGGGGCGGGGGGCGGGGGAGAGCTCGGGACGCTGACACTTGGAAGTGGGGACGTGGGGAGCGCGTCGCGCTGGAGCGTGGTGGGCCAGAACTGGCTGCGCGAGACGCTAAGCAAAAGTTCCCGACCGTATAGCAGTTAGCTTGACGGCAAGCAGAGTCCGCGGGTCACGCTCCACCGTGACCTTGGGGCTCTTCGATCGTCAGCCCCGACAAGTCGGTCCCCAGGTGTTATACTTAGTGGATTTCGTAGGGCCTTTGCACTCCTCATCCAGACCAGACAGACATTTGCTCGTGTGGCGAGTGGTAGTAGCATAAACACATTATCAAAGCAACATTGTTTGATCAGGCCAACGTGACACCGTTCTGTCCCCTGCTCTCAAGCAGACTCGAAGACAATCCAGGGACTTGCTAGCAACGAACAGCAAGAGGAAGACCGAGGGTATAGGCGCGATTGGCTCTGCCACAAGTGGAGCACTGGTCCTGGGTCCGATCGAAGGCGGGCGCTTTGGATGGGGTTCACACACAGAAAGGTGTGGGATCAACAGGAAGGCGCGCTCGGGACGGCGCGCACCAGACAACACCATTGAGGTCCAAACTAGGTCAGCGGGGCATCACCTTGGCAACCAATTCAGCCATCGCCCGAGACATTTTGACGTCCACGTCGAGCCTAACTGCATGAGTTTGAAATTTGTGGGTGCTCCAGGTGACTCAGGACACCTTTCCCCGCAGATGCCCTCTTGGCTCCAACGTCAGCCCAATGACTTCTAAATCTGCACATCTTGTCATGTTGTGAGGTCCATTCCTCCAGCGACTGATGGGCTTTGAATTTGTGCATGGCTCGGGCCTTCCAGATCTCACTGAGCAGAGCACGGGAACACCGACGCAGCTGCTCTTGGGAGAAAGCTGATCGCACCGAGGCAGGGGGTCCATACATCATGCCCGAGAATGATGCCCCATCGTCGGCTACAGCAAAGAACAATCCAACACAGCAAACTTCGACACTGGCATGACATAACTTACATCCGTCTGTAAAACGCATGCAGGGGAAAAGGGGTGGTAGGCGAGGAGGGCGAGATGGAGAAAGGGGTACGAGGATGGCGTGAGGAGGAGGAGGAGGGCGTGGAAGGGGGAGAACGGGGTGGGGGGAAGGGGGGAGGGGAGAAGGGGCGAGAGGGGGGTGAGGGCATGGAAAGGATGGAGAAGGGACGAGGACGAGGAGGATGAGGATGATGATGATGAGGATGTGGGAGAAGGAGGGCGTGGACGGTGAGGAGGGCGTGGAGGGGAAGGGAATCGGGAGAAGGTGAACGAAGGAGGGCCTGGAGGTTCACCACACATACGCAATAGGCATACATGATACCTGCAACCATCATTAGAACTGAAGCGACCATCAATACTGGATGCTCGGGCAACTTGCAAGGGTGACCATATATAAACCAAGGGTGGTGCCTCACGGGTTGAGGCATTAACCTTTAGCGGTGTACCAAGGTGGGGAAACCATATAACAGGAGCAGAGTTCACTGGACTCAGTCCAGTAGATGTCCGATGGTACCACGCCCAAAACCTGAGACCGAATCGCCAATGGCTGAAACAGAACTTACGGAGGGGGAGTGGCACGCATATCACATTTAGGATGTTGCGACCGTGTTTCGACAAAAAATCAGGGGCTCAATTCTCTCAGCATGCTTTCAAAGCGGGTGGCTTGACGCGAAGGACTGGAGGCTAACGGGTGACCAATTGAAGGTCATTCGTGAATACGCATGCACGTCGGGCACGTGTGTGTGTGTGCGCGCGCGCGCGCGTGTGTGTGTGTGTGTGTGTGTGTGTGTGTGTGCGTGTGTGTGTGTGTGTGTGTCTGTGTGTGTGTGTGTGTGTGTGTGTGTGTGTGTGTGTGCGTGCGTGCGTGCGTGCGTGCGTGCGTGCGTGTGTGTGTGTGTGTGTGTGTGTGTGTGTGTGTGTGTGTGCGGGGGCGGGCGGGCGGGCGGTGTGTGTGTGCGTGTGTGTGTTTGTGTGTGTGTGTGTGTGTATGTGTGTATGTGTGTATGTATGTATGTGTGTGTATGTATGTATGTATGTATGTATGTATGTATGTATGTATGTATGTATGTATGTATGTATGTATGTATGTATGTATGTATGTATGTATGTATGTATGTAGGTGTGCATGTATGTACTTATATATATATAGATATATGTTTATAGCCCTATCATAAGTCATATACTTCTACTACTCTGGACTCTGCGGGCTCCCCACCCGACACGGGACCCCCCAGATCCGTCGCCCCCAGGGCCCCCTACGCCCCTGCAGAAAGCACCCCAAGATTTTCAAAGCTCATGGAAGTCTCTGCTGGGCCGAGGCAACGTATCCAAACTGGTCACGAAGGCGGCGGAACGCTTTCCCCAAGGCCCCAACACGGTCTTCCGTGCGTCCGAAACTGCATGGGAGACCCGAACATCGCCTCAAAACCTTCCGAACAAGGGCTTCCAGGCAGTCCAAGCCAGCCCCACAGCGGCACAACAAGGTTCCAATATGACCCGAAGCGAGCCCCATGCATCGGCCCAATGAACGCTCCTTTGATTTTCGTCACATCGCTCGCTCGCGGAAGCCGACGGAAGTAAAACGAGGCGGAAGACGGCGGAAGGCCGTCGGAAGGCTTGCGGAAGACAGCTGGAATAAATGACGCCCCGTCCGAACCCCCCTACTCCCCGTAGAAGCCTAGCCATGTAGTCTTCTGCCGTGGGCCGGGCGGGATCCCGCTTAGCTTACTCCTTTATGATTATAATTTTAGTTCAGCCAAACTAAGATCCCACTGAACAAGTATCCCGGGTCGTTCACGGATCCCGCCATGCTGGGATCGGCTCGAAGTGAGTTTGGGCTCCGAAGTTGCAGCGTTCCTGGCGTGTCAGGGTCGTCTTGAGGTCATCTTGAGATCATATTTCGGTCATGCTTGGATCGCGCAGCCGTCGCGTGTTCATTCTGGGGCCACCCTGGGCGCGCCTTGTTGCCATCGGACCATCTCGGCGTCACTCGTGGCTCATGTGTTTGGCCATCTTCCAGTCGGCCTGAGACGGTCTAGAACCCATGGCGGGATCGTATTGGGGTAGCGTCATCCCAGGGCCAGGTAGCGTCATCCCAGGGCCGTCATTCCTTTGGCCTCAGGCCCTCCTGGAACCACTTTGTGGCCATGGGGACGTCTTGGGATCTCGCGCGCGTGAGCGCCCAGCACGCGCGCGCGACAACTCATCTCGCCGATGGGTGTAAACACATATACTTCCTGTTGCGTGCTTCCAAGAGAACTTTTGTGGGAGCCAGCGGACGGCCCACGGTGGCCCCAAGACGTCCCCCGAAACATTCCAAATCGTGACCCGTCGTTGAGGGAGACCGCGGTTGGAAGCAGGGTGGCCCGAGGAAGCTCCCAGAGGCCCCCAGACAACACCCAAGAAGCCTTCAGAAGGCCTTCAGAAAACCTTGAAGACTTCCGTGAGGCCCCCAGAGGCTCTCGAAGGAGGAGCCTCCGCAAAAAGAGTTGCGGATGGGGAAGAATTCGCAGTGTCGGGTGATAAAGAGGACAAGGACGCATGGAGGAAAGATACTGAACAACAATCTTCTACACTATCTTAGAATGGCGATGCCGGAAACGGCAACAAGGACTTATCGTTCACTTGTCTCTTTCACCTCCCTGCTCTTTCACCCGCATGCCAAACTTCGAAGACCAAGGCGCAAGGCGCGAAGCGTCAGTGCAATCTTGTATCTGCATCTATATCCCATTTCGTATATCGCAATCTGGAGGGGTGGCTCCCCCCCAACCTGGGACCCTTGGATCCGTGGCCCCAAAGGCCCTTTGGACGCCCCTGCAGGAGGCCCCCCGGTCTTGTCGGAGCTCCTGGAGGCGATGCTGGGCCTAGGCAGCGGGTCCAAATCGGTCACGAGGGCTGCCGAATGGCGTCGCCAGATGCCCCAAGACGACCCAAAGAAAACCCCCCAACGGCTTCTGAAACGGAGAACACACGGATTTCCCATGGGTTTTCGTATGACTTTGAAAATGCTCTGTTCTTGTATATTCTGGGACTCCGAAGCCGCTCAGGAAGCCCGAACATCGCTCCAAAACTACTTCAGACGGCTTCCAGGCCGTCCCAGTGAGCCCCAATACGGCCCAACAGGGTCCCAATATAACCCCAAGAGAGCCCCATAACGGCCCAAGGTGGCCCCAAGATACCCCCCCGAAGAATTCCAAATCGTGACCAGCTTGTTGAGGGAGACCGCGGTTGGAAGCAGGGGTCCCGAGGAACCCCCCAGAGGCCCTCAGAAGGCGCCCAGGATACCTTCAGAAGGTCCCAAGAAACCATGGCAAAATTCAGTGAGGCCTCCGAAAGGCTCTCCACTATTCGGAAAGTAACTAAGGCGAAAATGAAGAAGTAGAAGAAGAAACGTGGGGAATTATACTGAAGAGCGTCGTCATATCAAGGAATACGGCAACAAAAAGTTGTCGCTAAATTTGACGTCGCCTTCCTGCCTCTCCACCTGCATGCAACACTTCAAGGGCCAATATGCATGGCGCGAAACGTCAATGCAATGTGTTAGATATACATATCTATCTATACCCCTTCCTCTATTTTTTAAGCTGGGCCCTCAGGAGCTCCCTGGTACGGGGCTTTCGCCCCTCCTGGACGCCTTTGGAAGTTCCCCCAGCCCTGCCGCGCCTTTCAGGGCGCCCTGCTGGGCCTTGCCCAGCAGACCCACAATCATCAGAAAAATAATCGAAGAGACGCGGGAGAGCCCCAAGACAGCGCAAGACGGCTTAAAGACGACCTAAGAGCTTGCACTTGGGTTCTTTGCTCCAGCGTTCGGAACTGGAGTGGGTCAGCCGAAGCTTCGTCACGTGCCCGCACATGCTGCGTCGTGGGCTCTCGTGAGTCCCACACCAAATAGCTCCCACTGGTGTTTTCTCATCGCGTAGCTTCTACAAAGCTGCTCTCAACACATTGTTCATACGACTTGTTTTGCACACTTTGAATTACATCCTGTAGATACCACCGCATCGCCCGCATTACATAGTTTACACAACCTAGTTACCGTCACGTAGCTAACGCAGAAAATCTGACCGCATAGCTCACAGCACATGGTTGCCAATACGTAGCCCACATCACATAGTTCAGCCGCAAAACTTCCACCGCCAGAATTCAAAACCCCACTCTTCGGGGTCTACGATTGCTCATTTATTTGTTGGCTCTTTGCTGTTGGGAACCGCTGGGAGCCGCCAGGCTTCTTGGAGCTTCTGCAATCTTCGGAGGTTTTGGTTCGACGCCGGTCTCCAGAAGCCGCTGCACCCTGGAGGTCCTGAAAAACAGACCCCGAGTAGAGAAAACGACCCTTAGGAAACACATTTTCCTCCATCGCGGTAGGATTACGTCGTGTCGACGCGGCGGCGACATTGGCGCGGGCGTTCGGAATGACGGCAGCCAGTGGTCAGGAATCGGCCGGTGTCGAACGGGGAATGCGCGATCGTTCACGGCTGAAGATCCAGCTGGCGTCGAAACTCGACGCGCAAGCCGTGACGACACCTGCCAGCGCAGGATCCAGCGAAGAAGGCACGCGACTTTGGCCCAACGTTTTTTTCGGAACCTCCAAGTGGCCATCTCGTCGCCACGTCATCGGGTCCACCTCGAAACTCGGTTCGACCACCTCAAAAAAAATCGGGTGGCGCACGAACATGTAAATCAAGGGCGACAACCAATCAAGAACGGGTGAGGGAACTCCAAAAGAAACGGCCAAATTTCAAAGGCGAAAGAGGATGACGCCGAGTACCACCATATGCGAAGGTTGAAGGACCAAGGTGCGTGGCGCGAAGCACCAATGCATTATGTAGATGTCTGTATGTATGTGTGTGTATGTATGTATATACGCATGTGTGTACATACAAGTATATACAAGAGTGCGTTGGTGCTTCGCGCCGCGCACCTTGGTCCTTGATACTTCGCATATGTTGGCACTTGGCGTCGTCATCTCTGGCCTTTGAAATTTGGCCGTTTCATTTCAAGTCCCCCTTGCCCGTTCCTTACTTGCTCTTGCCCTCGATTTACATGATCGTGCGCCATTCGGACATACTTGGGGTGCGTCAGGACGAAAATTCGAAGCGGACCAGATGACGTGGCGACGAGAACGCCACCTGAAGGCTCCGAAAAGGCAGGTATTCGCCATAATCCGAGCAAGCGAAAACAAGCATGAAGGATGTGACGTATGCGGGAACTTAAAGCGTTTAAGCCAAAGGCTACGTATGCATGGGTACGTACAGAAGCGACGAGCATGTTCCCATGAATGACGTGGAGGAACATCGTGTGGCCCACTCGCTGGCCCGCTCGTGGACCTCCCATGGCCCTCGTGGGTCTCTCTTGGGAGCCTTCGGGGGCCTCGTGAGCTTCTTTTGATGGTCTTGGGGAAGTCTTGGGCTGTCTTGAAGCCTTCTTGGGGGCGTCTTGGGCCGTCTTGGGGCGACCTCGGAGGCCTCTTGGGCCGTCGTGAAAGCTGCTGCGACACCCACAGCGAATATGCTGAAAATGCACATTTTCCTAAAAGAGACTTGGGAGATTTCTGCTTTTTGGGGGCCCTCCTGCAGACGGCCTCTTGGGCCGTCTTGGGGGCCTCTTGGGCCGTCTTGAGGCCGTCTTGTGCTGTCTTAGGGCTCTCCTGCACCTCTTCGCCTCTTCGACCTCTTCTCTGATCGCTTGTTGTCTACTCGGCAAGGCCCAGGCAGGGCGCCCTGGGAGGCGCGGCAAGGCTGAAGAACCTCTTCCGCATCCCGGGAACGCGGAACGCGAAAGGGGTCCCCCCCGTAAAACCGGACTCCTGGGATCTGGGGCTTTGGGACCCTCTGGACGGGCCTCGAAGCGGCCCCCCCAGGCCTCGCAGGGTGTTTTGCCAAGCCTTCCCAGCACACCTAAGGCGATCAGGGGGGTCATCGGAGACGTCCCAGAGACCCCCAAGACAGCACAAGAGCGCTCCAAGAGTGACCGACGTGACTTCCAGATGGCCCAAGAGGCCTCCAGGACGGTCCCAAAGAGGCCTCCAAGAGCACTCCCAAGGAGGTCCCAAGTGGCAAAAATCATAGATTTTCTGTCGGTTGTTGGTGAATTTGGGGGCTCCTCTTTTCGGCTTCCCGACGCTCCAAGACGGCGGTCTTCTGGGCGTCCGAAGCCGCCTGGGAGGCTCCAAAATCGCCCCACAACCATCCGAAAGGGCTTCCAGGCAGTTCAAGAGCCCCCAAACGGCACAACACGGGTCCAAGATGGCCCTCAGAGAGCCCCATGTCGGCCCAAGATGGCCCCAAGACACCCTCCGAAGCATTCCAAATCGTGACCCGGTCGTTCAGGGAGACCGCGGTTGGAGGCAGGGTGGCCCGAGGAAGCCCCCAGAATACGCCCAGGAGGCCTTCAGAAGGCCTTAAGAAAGCCCGAAACAACTTTTGTGAGGCCCCCAGAGGCTCTCCAAGGAGGAGCCTCCGCAAAAAAGAGCTGCGGAGGATGGGGAGAATGCGCAGGGTATGGCGAAAATGAAGAAAAAGAAACATGGAGGAAGGATAACGAATAACATTATTATAGCGGCGATGCCAGAAAAGGCAACAAAGAGTTGTCGCTAAATTGTCGGCTTGACCTTCCTGCTATTCCGCCTGCACACCAAACTTCAAGGACCAAGGTGCATGGCGCGAAGCGCCAATGCAGTCTTGTATATGTATATATGTGTGTGTATATATATATATATATATATATAGAATTCTTTCCCGCCCCCAGGCTTGGAAACACATGGGAAGATAAACATTCCTGCTCGATTTTTTTTATAGGGGAAACCCGTCCCGTACATAAATTCGGCCCTGGGCCCCTCCACCAACGTGAACTTCGAACTTACAGTTTCGGGAGCCCCCTGGGCCATCTTTTACGCCGCCCGAGCGGGCCCAGATCAGGAGGATGAGGAGGATGAGAAGGAGGAGGAGGAGGAGGACGAGGAGGAGGAGGAGGAGGAGGAGGAGGAGGATGAGGAGGATGAGAAGGAGGAGGAGAAGGAGGAGGAGGAGGAGGAGGAGGAGGAGGAGGGAGGAGGAGGAGCAGGAGCAGGAGCAAGAGCGGGAACAAAAGGCCCCGCCCGCCTCCTCGGCGCCCACGCCGCTGGGGCCGTCCGGCCCACCCAGCTCGGCGCAGCCGACCTGCCAGAGGCGGGCGGGCGGGGGGCGCCGCGGCCAGGGCGGGAGGCCGCGCCGGGGCGGCAGCCCCCCGCCGCCGCCAGGGGGGCGCGCGGAGAGCTCCAATCCGGGAAGGTCCAGGGAGACGCGCAGTCAAGCTGCTGCCACCAAGGGGCGCTTGGTGAGGAAGGAGCCCCTCTGCGGCCCCCGGGGGCGCCTGGGTGCACGCGGGGCGCACGGGGGGGGGACCGCCGTGGAAGGACTTCAGGAGCAGCGAGCCCCCTCAGAACCCGAGCTGCTCCTCGTGTTCGGATCTTGGCCGTCCGTGCCCAGCCACGCAGCTGAACCTGCCCACAAGTTCGCGAGGGCGCCCTCGTGAACACGGACGCTCGTGCAGTGCGCCCTCTCGAATACGAAAACAAAATGCTGCGTAAACCTACGGCCAGGAACTTCTGCTTAGCGTGTCGCCGTGGCGGCCCTGGCGACACGCTATGCCCTGCAAGCAGATAGCGCGTCGCTCCGCTCCGCGGGGCGGGAAGCTCGGAAAGGCTTGGGGCGTTGAAGCCTGGGGACTGGAGGTGGAGAGCGTGTCGCGCCGAGGCGTTGTGGACCAGAACCGGCGGAGCGACGCGCTACCCAAAAACTCCCGACCATACAATTCTGGAGCTCCAGAAGAGTTTCTGCTCGTGCAATTTGCTCTTCATCGATGCCTCTGCACGTGCGCCTTGGTTTCGCTCTTGGCCCTCGGCGACGCGACGAGGTGCAAGCAATGCACGTGCGCGCGGTGCCGGGCATGCGCGGCTCGTCGTGCGCGCGTTCCCGCTCCACACGCCGTGTTCGGCACGCTTCCTCGGTCTGAAACCTCCGAGGCGGGGACCGCAGAGCCCGGAGGAATCGGAGGGGGATCGGGGCTCGAGGCTCGAGAGGGCTCGAGGAGCCGGAGGGGGATCGGGGATCGAGGGGGACCGAAGGGGCTCGAGGCTCGAGGGGGATTGAGGATCGAGGGGGATCGGGGCTTGAGGCTCGAGGGGGATCGAGGGGAATCGAGGATCGAGGGGGATCGAGGATCGAGGGGGATCGAGGTTCGAGGGCTCTGGGCGTCTTCTTCCCTCGGGCTCTCCAGGGGCCTCCAGAGCCCTGCTCGACAGGGCGTCCCCCCTCGGTGGCGAGCGAGGGGTCGAAATGAGAAAGAGAAGGCCTCCTCAGAAGGCGGCGGGACTTCTCAGAAGCCCTCGCGCCTCCCGAGAAGTTGATTATGTCTTCGGGAATGACTCAGGACACTTCTCAGAAGGCCGGGGGACTTCCGAGCCTTCTGAGAAAGTCTTCTCCTTCTCACTTCCCCCCCTCGCTCGCCGCCGACCCCTCCCTCCGCACGGGAGGCTCGCGCGCGCGCGATTCGCGGCCGCCGCCACCGCCATCACCGCCGCCGTCGTCGCTGGCGTCGCCTGGCAGAGCGGGCGGGGGCAGGTTGGAGGAGAGCGAAGGGGGGGATGTGATAATATAAATGGTAATCGTAATACTAATAGCAATAATGAGAATGACGGCAATAACAAACATATTTCATACTAATTGAAGTAATCATAAGACGCTAACAAGTAATATTGATAAAAAACACGGGGACTCATGATAACACAAACACTACTGCCAATCACGTTACTAATCATAATCGAACGAAACCTACTACTACTACTGCTACTACTACTACTACTACTACTACTACTACTTTTCATACTACTACTACTACTACTGCTACTACTACTACTTCTACTACTACTACTACTACTATTACTACTACTACTACTATTACTATTACTAGTACTAGTACTATTACTATTACTATTACTATTACTATTACTATTACTATTACTATTACAATTACTATTACTATTACTATTAGTATTACTATTACTACTACTACTGCTAATACTACTACTACTACTACTGCTCATAATACGAATACTAGTAAGAATAATAATACTAATACTATTAATGCTCATCATAATATTACTAATACAAATAATAACACGTATAATAATAACAAGAGTAAGATCGTACACTTACTGATCCTAATAATGAGAAGAATACTGAGACTAGGAAGAGGAATAATGAAACCCATACTACTAATAATAAGAATAATAAAAATAATGATAATACTATCGTGATTATTATTAATGATAACCATACGAATCGCAATAACAATAATAATAAGAACAATACCTCCTCAGGAGGCGGCGGGGCTTCTCAGGAGCCCTCTGGCCTTCTGAGAAGGCCCGCCCCCTCTCACTTCCTCTCTGGGTTGGCCGCCGAGCAAGGGCGCGAAGGGCAGGCAGGGTTCACGGGCGAGCAGGTTTTCACCAAGGGGGCGGAGCGCACGCCGAACTGGTCGACTGGGTCCGATGGCCTCCAGCATCTGGCACTGGAGGCTCCCCTCTACTCTCTGCTTAAGAGAAGAGCTGAGGGCCTGAAGCTGAGGGACGTCGTCGGAAGAGGGCCCCTGAATGGGTATGGAGGCCCAACAGCAGACGACGTCTCACGGTATACCTCTTGCCACTCTTTTGAGTTCCAGGGCATTCCTGATGCAGGGCATTCCTGATGCGCTGGCCACGCCTTGCACAAAGTAACTTTAGACCGTCAGAACCAATCCTGGATGACATACAGTTGGTCTGGTGAATTCCACCAGCCCTCTGGGCTTAGGCGGTCTGATGAACTTGTGCCTTCCCTCTGCTAAAACTCCTCCTTCCCCTGCTCGGGGGAAAGGTTTATCACTGCTCCCTATCAATGCACACCCCCCTCCCCCAGGCGACCGGCGGCCAACCAAAAACCATGCTCACCCCACCACCATCCCTATCAAAAAACTACAAGCCACACTCTGCCTCCACATTTGGAGCATGCGTGGCCAACCCGATGCGGCCCCCCCCTTCCGTCCGTGTCAAAAAAATACAAAGTACACTTTGGGGTAAAATCTTGAAGCAGCAATACAGCATGCACCTCGCGGCTAAATCTGGAGAGTGCGCGGCCACCCCGCGTCTACTGTCAAGTCGTTTTTGACAAGGGCGGCGGGGGTGGTGGCGTATGACCTGCTGTGCGCAGGCCAACCAGACGCAATGATGGGCATTGGCTTTCGATACGTATGGTGGGGGCCGACATATTTCCCGATGTCTACTGTCACGTGCGCAGGCGCACTTGGCACGCCCTGTACATGCCCCGAACGTGGCGCACCTGGCGCGGCTGGACTATGTGCACACCTGGCGCACGCGGGACACGTGGCGCATCTGGCGCACCAGGCGTGCCTGGCACGCTCGGGCCCCAGGGGTGCCTGGCGTGTGTGGCGCGCCTGGCACGCGTGGCGCGCCTCGCCCCAGCGTCGCGTACATGGGGGTCGGTCTTGGTTCCCAATAGCTATCCATCCAAAGACGACCGCTGAACATGCTCAGGCTCGGGTGTTACGTATGTGTTGGGAGGGCGGGTGGGAGTGAGCTAAACGACTTTCTATCTAGGGGGTGTCTTGATCACTGTTCCCTATTCATGAACACCCCCTCCCCCAGGCGACTGGCGGCCAACCATGAACCATGAGGGCCCTCCTCCACCATCCCTGGTAAGAAAAAAACCGACAAAACACACATTCTGCCTCCAAATTCGGAGCATGCGCAGCCAACCCGATGCGGTCTCCCCCCACCATCCCCGTCAAAAAACAATACAGAATCAACTTGGCGGGGGCGGCGGCGGCGGCTGCGGCGGCTGCGGCGGCTGCGGCGGCGGCTGCGGCGGCGGCGGCGGCGGCTCCGGCGGCTGCGACGGCGGCGGCGGCGCTGGCGGCGGGGGCGGCGGGGGCGGCGGCGGCTGCGACGGCGGCGGCGGCGCTGGCGGCGGGGGTGGCGGGGGCGGCGGCGGCGCGGCGGCGGCTGCGGCGGCGGCGGCGGTGGCGGCGGCGGCTGCGGTGGCGGTGGCGGCGGCTGCGGCCGCAGCGGCTGCGGCGATTTGGCGGCGGGGGCGGCGGCGGGGGCGGCGACGGCGGGCGGCGCGGCGGCGGCGGATTGGCCCCCAGTAGCTGCCCATCCAAAGACGACTGCTGAGTATGCTGAGGCTCGGGCCAGATTCGGGTGCTACGTATGTGTTGGGAGGGCGGGTGGGAGTGAACGAAACGGCTTGCGGGTGGGGAGGGAGTCTTGATCACTGTTCCCTATTAGTATACACCCCCTCCCCCAGACTACTTGGAGCCAACCCAAATCCATGCGGGCATCCCCCACCATCCTTTGTAAAACACTACAAAACACACTCTGCCCCCACCATTCCTTGTACAAAAACAATACGAAACACACTCTGTCTCCAAATTCGGAGCATGCGAAGCGAACCCGATGCGGCCTCCCCCCACCATCCCTGTCAACAAAAACAATGCAAAGTACACTTGGCGGCTGCGGCGGTGGCGGCAGCGGGGGCGGCGGCGGCGGCGGCGGGGGCGGGGGCGGCGGCGGCGGCGGCGGCATCGGTGGTGGCGGCGGCGGCTGCGGCGGCGGCGGCGGCGGCGGCGGCGGCGGCGGCGGATGGGCCCCCAGTAGCTGCCCATCCAAAGACGACTGCTGAGTATGCTGAGGCTCGGGCCAGATTCGGGTGCCACGTATGTGTTGGGAGGGCGGGTGGGAGTGAGCGAGACGGCTTGCGGGCGGGGAGGGAGTCTTGATCACTGTTCCCTATTAGTATACACCCCCTCCCCCAGGCGACTGGGAGCCAACCCAAGTCCATGCGGGCACCCCCCACCATCCCTTGTAAAAACAATACCAAACACACTCTGCCCCCACCGTCCCTTGAAACAAAAACCATACGAAACACATTATGTCTCCAAATGCGGAGCATGCGCAGCGAACCCGATGCGGCCTCCCCCCACCATCCCTGTCAAAAAACAATCCAGAGTACACTTGGCGGCGGCGGCGGCTGCGGCGGGGGCGGCAGCAGCCGCGGCGGCTACGGAGGTGGCGGCGGCGGGGGCGGCGGCGGCGGTGGCGGCGGGGGCGGGGGCGGCGGCGGCA